CAAGCTTCTGATAGTTCTTCGCTGCGCATCTCACTGAAAGCTCAGTATGTGGTTATATTTAAAGCCTTGGCTTTCAGTTTACTATTCTCTAAAAGAGGGTGATATTTTTTCCTCCAGTGTTTCCCCCAAAAAGTGCCAGAAATGCAGTGATTCTGTGCATACACATAATTATAAACATAGTCATTCACTAGCAAGTTTTTAAAAAGATTATTAAAATATGTAGTTTTGATGCATTTTGTTTTATCAGGAGAGGCTCCATTACTTTTTGCCAGAATCCTTGAAGCATTCTTTTGAAATAAACTTTTAAGTATTTCTATAGTTTATAACTAGATTTATACAAACCAGTTAAGTTATGGATAGTGGAAAACAGATGGACATAGCATAATAAATCACAACATTCCTGACCATCCTGACAGAGAAAAATAATCTCTCCAGATATGCTCTGGACTGTACTTAAATGCTCCAGATCCCAAGGAGCTATGTAGTTCAGCTCACTGCAATTTGTCAGAAAGATGAGGCACTTGACAGTTACATTAAGGAGCTAAAGTCAATACAGCAGTTGTAGATTTGCTAATGCCACTGTATTTTTCTGCTCATAGCATGGACCCATTCATATGACTAATTTAGGTACAGGCTTCTCCAGTCAGACTGAGATTGAAGGTGCAGGATCGAAGCCAGCAAGTTCCTCAGGCAAAGAGCGAGAGAGGGACAGGTAAGTTAGTTGGAAAATAATTATATGAATATATCCATATGTCATTTGTTTGCACCATTAATGTAAATAATGATCATTGCTACGAGCTTCCATGTTCTAAAACAAATGAAATCACTTGGATCAAACGCTCCTGTTATAATTGATGCAGTAGTAAAAAGTGCAATAATATGACTTCCCCAGTCTTAGAAGCAGTAACACTTAATGGTGAATAATTCAATGCTTGCTCATTCAGACATCTTCTTTTACTTTCATTGTCTGCATCTTGGCCTTTTTTTTTTTTTTTTTTAAATTTAAAAGATTTTATTTATTTATTTTTAGAGAGAGGAGGAGGGAGAGTGGGAGAGAAACATCAATGTGTGATCTTGCACGCCCCCTAGTGGGGACCTGGCCTGCAACCCAGGCGTGTGCCCTGACTGGGAATCAAACTGGGGACCTTTTGGTTTACAGGCTGGTGTTCAATTCACTGAGCCACATCAGCCAGGGCCTTGGCCCTTTTTTTTTTTTTTAAGGGTAGGCAGTAGTTACATAATCAACCCATTTTTGCTACTTAGAGTCATACTCTTAACAGAAGTCCAGCCCGCCGTCCAGTGCTTAAATTCTCCGTTTCTCTATAATTATCAACCTTCGTAAGAGGGACCTCACTTCTACAACAGTTCATTTTGTTTCCGGCATGGCCAGGGTATATAGACAAGGCCTTATAACTTGAAAATAGCTTGAAGGACAGAGGGTCATGTAAAAGGGTTGAAATTAATGGTGAAAAGGAACATGAAACATTAACTGCAGGCTGTATTGTTATTCTTACTGGAGAGTTTAAAATTGAATTTATCTGAGTGGCGTTTTGTTTTGTTTTGTTTTGTTTTGTTTTTGGTGGTGGTGTTTTTAACAGGCAGTTGATGCCTCCGCCAGCCTTTCCAGTGACTGGAATAAAAACGGAGTCTGATGAAAGGAATGGGTCTGGGACCTTAACAGGGAGCCATGGTGAGTAAGGTATAACTGGGGGGTTGAGGGGGGGCCTTAAGGTATTAGTTTTTAACCCAGTGTTCATTCAGGTGTGATTCATTTAGGCATTTAATCCAAGCTCTATAATCTAATGAGAACGATTTTTTTTATTTATATGGACAGCATATAGTTACACAGACTATTATTTTCAACCAACGTGTGTCTAGAAGAGTCAGTCGACTTATATTTTAGGTATAACATCAGTGACATTAAACCCTAGGAAATACTAATGATTGGTAGGTCATTTCAAAATTTTGTTGCCTCATCTAAATACTTTGAGCTAATTTGATCCAGACTTAAATATTGATTTTTTTGTGTTGAGAACTGAGCCACATCTCCCCTCAAAGCACTCTTGGTTGGGAATGGTCAGCCTGTGGCTGCTATAAAAAGTGTTGCTTCTTAGTATCCCAGAACTCTAGAGGTTCATGGGATCTTTTTTGTTCCTTGCCTGTAGCCATAATAAAAATGAACAGAAGAAAATAAATTTTTTTCTTTTCTTCTTTTCTTTAAACTCTTTAAAAGGTGAAATATCAGCCTCCTCAGACTCACTTGCTAACTTTCCTTTTTTTTTCTTTTTTTTTTCTTTTTTTTTTTCTTGTGTTTCTTTTTTCTTTCTCTGTTTTCTTACATGGTTCTGGTGGATTCACATTTGCTGATGCTGGTGCTGTTTTTCGTGTGACCTTCAACGCTTTTGGGTGACCACTGACCCTGTGACCTCAAAATGGTGTCCAACTAACCACTTAAAATTAACGTCTTTTTTTTAATTAACGAATTTATGGTATTATCTTTTTTTTTCCCTTGTTGGGGAATGGGGTTGGGGTTTTTTTTTCTTCATTCTAGATTATCCAGTCAAGAAGATGAAAACTACAGAGAAGGGGTTTGGCTTGGTGGCTTATGCTGCAGATTCATCGGACGAAGAGGAGGAACATGGAGGTCATAAAAATGCAAGTAGTTTTCCACAGGGCTGGAGTTTGGGATATCAATACCCATCATCACAACCACGAGCTAAACAACAGATGCCGTTCTGGATGGCCCCATAGGAAACAGTGGAACAGAGTTTTGACCCTCGGTGACTCTTCTTTAGCAATAATGCATGCACTTGATTTAACAAGACTTTGGCCTGTACTGGGAACCATCGTGGACCTTTGCAGAAGTTAGAGATGCAGTGTCCCATTTCTTAAAAGGCTTTCATTCTTTTTAAGATATCTTTTTTTTTTTTTCTTCAGTGGCATAGCATCTGTTAAAAATTTACTTCGGATCACAAATTTGTCTCAGAAGATTTTTTTTAACAGTTTGTGAAATGTGCGTGTTCAACAAAGCATCCCAATGGGATCATTCCAGTATATGTTGACCTGGTCCGGCCTTTCCAAATGCGTAGCCCCTATTATAGACAGTTTTATTTGTATTTTACTACTGTATGGTCAGTTTTGATAATAACTGGTTACAAACCAAGCCTTACTATTTATTAGTGGGGAAATGATTTTAAGACCATTCTTTCTTTTCAGTACTAAATCTGCGAACTCATCCCTAGTCCATTTTTGGATCCTTTACTGTTTGGAAAGTGCAGTTTTACTAATTTAAAATTGTCAGATATAGCTGGATCCTGGGTAGGAAAAAGAAGTTATTTTTTTCATTGTATCTTTTTATTGGGATGATCCAAAGCTGGCACCTTCGGGCACACTTGTCTCACTCACATAGCCGTTGCTGTTTTTATTGCTCGTCTAAGCTCTTGTCTTCAACTGGGTCAAAGAAAACTACTTGATCAAAAGCTGGTCAGAACTCATCATAGAAATGAAACAGTGGTTCTGTCTCTCTCAGAACTGGTTGCAGCTAAAATAGAGAGATTTGACTGCTCGCAATAGGATGGTGGACTTAGTGACTGAAATGGCAACTGTCCTTTTTCTTGGCATTACAGGTTTTGCCAAAAGAACTTTTTTGTATCAAACATTGATGTGTGAAAGTGAAGGAGCTAGTCTGCTGAATCAGTAGTTTGAGATACAGAACTGTCATTTTTGCACATTTGAATACTTTGCAGGCTGGCTTTGTATAAACTTACCCTCTGGTTTCCTATATGTTGTAAATATTTAGACCATAATGTCATTATTAATAAATATATAAATATTCTGCTTGTGGCTTCTCTGTTTTTTATTCCAAAGCCCATCCATACACTGTGATCTATCGGTAAGCATGTTTACTTGTAGCACAATGGCATTCTAACCCCACCAGGAAAACACAGGGACCCGGGAGTTTGCATACAGTTCTGTGAGTTTCATGACTTTCCAAAGTAAATCCTTGGAAATCCAGGTGAAAAAATGTAAGGGATTATTGTGCTGGGTGTTTTTCATTTTTATATTTTAGCCCTCCTTTGTTAAATATGGTTCAAGGACCAAGTAAATGAAACATTTTTAAAGGAAATGCAAATTACTCTTTGAAAAACATTCTGAAAAAAAAGTAGGGTGGGCAGAAGTTTTAACAGATTTCCCTGTGTAAAGATTTCCCTTCTAGTACCTGTACTTAAATAGAGGAATCTGGTGATACTGTCCTTATTTATTTCTGATTCAATTCAAGGCCACCTGAAAATTCCAATTTTATTTCTTGGTGGGTAGTCCACTTGTTTACAACAAAACAAAAATTTTAATGGGTTTCATTTACATGTGTTTAGAATTGAAAACTGGTCAACTAGAACAGGGATTTTCAACAGTGCAATACCTGAGTAAGGGGTACTGACCTGTTGATTGTCAGAGGAAACATGATGACACAACAGCTGTCTGGTGTGAATGAGTCAAAATACACTCTTGGGGGAGGGCAGCTCTGCACAAAATATTTTTTGGTGTGCCACATTATTTTAATAATTTATATGTACCATGAGATGAAAAATGTTGAAAATCACTCAATCAGAACATCTGGTTTTTGACATCTGATTTGCTGTTTCCGAGAGCCCAAGTCATAACTTCCTTTGGGGAAATTTTGCTGCTTCTGCTATTAAGCACTAAACGGACTCTCAGTTCTGTTCCGGGGGAGGGTTTGGTGGGTGCCCATTTCCAGTTTCCCCTTACATTTGGCCAATTACTGTATCACAAGCAGCAGACAATCATGAATAAGTTACTTTAAGGGACACCTATATGTGTCTTACCATATCTTCCATCATCCTTTTTGACTTGGGTAAGGTTTGTGTTTGTGTGCATTCTTGGAGCATGGTACTCGACCGAAAGGCCTTTAGCAGTGAGTCGCCGGAACTGGGTTACAGGGCCTGGTGGGGTCATGTCCCTCCCCGGTCGCTACGTCAGGGGACAGCTCCGCCTCTCTCAGCGGTGGCGCCATCTTCCCCCGCCGCGGGAGGGGTCACGGGTCAGTACTGGCGCCTGGAGGGAAGGAGGACGGAAGCGTGGTCGGACTCATAGCGTTCACGTCCTGAAGGTACAAGCAGCGAGACTCCTCTTGAGGAGGAAGGGTGGGGGGCATGATGGTGGCGGGGGTGCCCCTGAGGCCCGGACGCTTTGTCGAAGAACGGGAGGGGGCGGAACCTTGGGACGGCGGGTGGGCGGGCGTAAGAGCCCCTGCGGCCCCAGAGGCACTCCGCCTTTGATCCCTAAACCTTTACTTTTTTATTTTTTAACTTAAAAGATATATATGTTTATTGATTTTAGAGGAGAAGGGAGACAGAAAGAAACATCGATGTGAGAGAGAAACATTGATTGGTTGCCTCCCCTGACTGGCCGATTCTGGGGACGGGATGGAACCCGCAACCTAGGTGAGTGCCTTGACCAGGAATCCAATTCCCAACCTTTTCGAGTGTGGGACGAGGCGCCAAAAACTGAGCCACCAGGCCAAGGCCCCAAACCTCAGCTTTAGCACTCGGCTCCTCCTCCTCCTCACTGTGCGGTGCCCCAGTCTGAAAAACTGTAAATTCCTTTGTGTCTTTCATTTTTTCCTTTGGAAAACCTGTGATGTGTCATGGGACCGAACTGCCCTGGAGGGCCCCTACAGTGCTCCAGCAGGAAGCAGGAGTCCTATGGGAAGGCAGGGCACTGACACTGGGACTGTCCTCAGGGTTGTTGCCATCCTGGATTAAATATTTTCTTCTTTCTCGGTAGGTGCCTTTTCCTTGGGGCAGCCCGGGAGTCTCCAAGAAGAGAATGGATTCAGGAACTCGCCCAGTTGGTAGCTGCTGTAGCAGCCCTGCAGGGCTCTCACGGGAATACAAACTAGTGATGCTGGGTGCTGGTGGTGTAGGGAAGAGTGGTAGGTGACATCTTTCTTCCATTTTGTAAGAACTAAGGATGAAAATTTCTTAAAACAAATGACTTCCACTCAAACCAAATGGGAGACTGCCTGTCATGCAGTGTTGATACTTAGAATTCTCTCTGTGGATCAGGAACCTTTGAGTGGGTTTTAACTTTCATTTCTTGTTTTGAAGCCATGACCATGCAATTCATCAGCCACCGATTCCCAGAAGACCATGACCCCACCATCGGTAAGCCAGAGTGTCACTTAGGTTTCTAAATAAACCTTATAGAAGTGTCTTGATGTCAGTTTTTAAAACAGTTTTTAACTTTTTATATTTTGAGCCTTTCTTGGTGTTTAACAAGTGTCACAGCAGTTGGTAAGCAAATGAATACATTTTTTTCCTCACTTAACTCTTTGTGGATATAAGCTATCTTTAGTCTCTTTTATTGAACACTTATGGGACACTTTCTTTGTCATATTTTTACAGTTATACTATGTTGCTAGATCAAAGGAAAATTTTAAAGGCCACTTAACAGAAACCTTTTGCCGTCACTTCTCTAAGGGTCTGACTTGGGACTGACTCTGTAACTATGAGTCAGCTGGTTTGAACTTCCACAAAAGGAAGCAGAAAAACAAGTAGAGCCAGTCTGCTGAACCCTTACAATCCAGACATGCAGAGCCTGGCCTTCCACTGAAGCTCTTCATTTACTTCCTTATAGCTCAAGTTTGTTAAATAGTAAGACCTGCCTTCATGTCTTTTATGATGCTTAATGCTCTGTTGATGGCAAAATGGTAAAAAGTGGTAAAAAGTAACTTTATTTTGCCTTTTTGTATTGCTTTTCTCTACAAAGACTTAAGAACATTACTGTCATTCCTAAACTATAAGGAAGCAGGTTTGATTCTAAGGGGCTATATCTCAAGATAAAACCTGCAGGCACAGACGGTGTGCCATACTACTGGTATGTTCAGAATGTGACACTTGGTCATGGTCGTGGGTCTCCAGGAAGGATTTCCATTGACTCAGGCTCCTGCTGCTCTGTTTTCCACAAAGGCAGTGAATGTCTGGGCCAACCCAGCTCTGGATGTGGTCGTTTTATGTAGTAGATGCTGCTGTGGGTGGGGGAAAATAGAAACAGTGCTTGCTTTTTCATGTGCTATATTAAATTAAAGCATTGTTCAGGGATTCAAACTCTGGTAGGAATTCTAGGAATAAAACCAAGTTAGGGTTTAGAATAATTTACTTAGAATTCCAAAAATATCTTTTTTTTTTCCCATTGATAATCAACTACTTTCCTGACAATATTAACTGATTCACCAGCAAATACCTAGGTCACTTGAGTTCCTTTTACTTCCCAAGCACTGTGGTAGGCCCTGGGGGTAGAGTGGTGAGCAAAAGGACATGGTGCCTGTTCCCACTGAGTTTATCATTTAGTGCATTTTGTTTTACACTTTGGCTGCTAACTCCAAGAAAAAGTCTGTATTGTAACTAGTACAGTATGTAACTAGTAACTAGTACTAGTATGTAACTAGTACATACACATAAGTGTGTGTACATATGTATGTATACACATGCACGTGTAATTAAAGTATCACAAAACTGTATAAGCTACATGCAGTGCACCCTTGTATTTTCTCTTTAATTTAAAGTTTCTGCTAATTTTATTTAAGACAATGAGTTGAGGCCAGCTCATTAAATTCATTCACAACTCACTAAGCTTAATGGATTTGTAGTTTGAGAAACATTGGTTTAGTGAGCTCTTCACTTTTGTGGAAGAGTCAGAAGCAGGGGTTCAAGAAAAAATTTCATAAGAAAATACATCAGGATTTAAGTAGCATTTGTTGGAATGATGGACATGGAGGAACTATGGCATATGGTTAAGTATATAGGGCTTTTGAGTCAACTAGCCCTGATTTTTAATTCTGGCTATATTATTAATTAACTGTATAATGTGGGGAGATTCAATTTTTAGAGTTTAATTCTTTTATCTGTAAAGTGGAGATAATACCTCATTGGATTATTATTGAAGGAGTTAATGTATATAAATTACTTAGTGTAATGCCTGGCATCTAATAACTTTTTTTTTAATCCACACCCAAGGACATGCTTACTGATTTTTATAGGGAGGGGATGGGAAGGAGAGGGAGAGGGACATCTCTGTGAGAGAGAAACATCAATCTGTTGCCTCCCGTACGCTCCCTGACCAGGGGCTGAACCTGCAACCCCAGTATGTGCCCTGACCAGTAATCAAACCCATGACCTTTCAGTTTATAGACGATGCTCCAACCAACTGAGCCTTACCAGACAAGGCCAATAACTATTTAATAAATGGTAAAGTTACTTTTTGGCCTAATATTTTTTTAAAAAAACAATCTCTCAGAATCCTTTTTTAGCTTAGAATTGTAGGTGGCCCTGGCCGGTGTGGCACATTAGTTAGAATATCATCCTATAGACCAAAAGGCCATGGGTTTGATTCCCAGTCAGGGTACATACCCAGGTTGTGGGTTCTATCCCCAGTCTGGGCGCATAAACCAATTAATGTTTCTCACATCGATGTTTCTTCTTTCTCTCTCCCTTCTCTCTCTAAAAGCAATGAAGAAAGTCTTCAGGTGAGGATTTAAAAAAATAGAATTGCAGGTAAAGTCTTACAAGCTTAAGCTGTGGAGAAAAAACAAACCTTAGTTGAAGACCCACTTTATGTATCTTGGTGAGAAAATGTGGTCAGTTAAAGAACTTGTGTAATCTGTTTTTCTATAATATGGATTTTAAAGAAGGGTTGCATATTCCTGCATTTATGGATTCATAGTACACCTTTCCTCTTTCTGTAGAAGATGCTTATAAAATCCGGATCCGTATTGATGATGAGCCTGCCAATCTGGACATTTTGGATACAGCTGGACAGGTATCAAATCCCAGAATACTATGAACAAAGACCTTTTCACTCTAGTAAAGAGAAGGAGAAGGCTTATGTAGAGAACATCACTAGTTCATGTCTTTTAATTTTTCATGCAGTCTCTGACTCAGGATAGCAGGTAATCGACCTGTCTCTTCTTTAATCTGAAATAAGTAGCTAATATGTATGTAGGTCTAGGTTGTATCAGTACATTAATGACCCTTGTTTCCTTCTAGGCAGAGTTTACAGCCATGCGGGATCAGTATATGAGGGCAGGAGAAGGGTTTATCATCTGTTACTCTATCACCGATCGTCGAAGTTTTCATGAAGTTCGGGAGTTTAAACAGCTTATTTATCGAGTACGACGTACTGATGATACACCTGTGGTTCTCGTAGGGAACAAGTCTGATCTCAAGCAACTAAGACAGGTGAGGATAGAGTTGAAAATGCTTTCTATAATTTAGTGGGATTTTGTTGCTCTGTTTACAGAGTCATCTGTCTTAAAGTAAAAATTTAAAATTAGCTTCTCCAGCCCAGGCTGACGTGGTTCAGTGGATTGAGTGCCGGTCTACAAACCGAAGGATGGCCGAATCAAATTCCAGTCTGGTCACATGCCTGGGTTGTGGGCCAGGCCCCGGTTGGGGTCATGCGAGAGGCAACTGATTGATGTTTCTCTCCCTTGCTGTCTCTCTAAAAATAAATAAGTACAATCTAAAAAAATAAATAAAATAAAATTAGCTTTTCCCTAACCTTGAAAATTTCCTGATATATACTAATTTGCTATTATTTGGGATAAAATTTGAATTTTAGAAATCAGTTTACAGGACAGAATCCACAGGATAGTACTCAGATGACACAGAGAGTATGCATTAGGTCAGCAGTCCCCAGCCTTTTTGGCACCAAGGACCGGTTTTGTGGAAGACAATTGGCAATGTTTCCTTGGAGCAGGGTGGGGAGGATGGTTTCAGGATGATTCAAGTGCATTCAAGCTCATCTCCTGCTGTTCAGCTGGTTCCTAACAGTCCCGGACCAGTACCAGTCTCTGCCCTGAGGTTGAGGACCCCTGCATTAATAGGCGACAGATTGGGGAGAGTTCAGTTCCTAAAACATCAGAAATAAATCTTGTTTATATTGCATAAGAAGAAACTTAAGTTTGATTTTAAGATACTTCCTGATGGTGAGGATTATGAGCTGTAGAAGGAGAGAATAACAGAAATTGCAGAGGATTTTAGACTGTGATACCTTTCAAGTTAACAGTCATATTTAAAATGTTGCTGTTTGGTGTAGTGTTTCTGAACGCGTAGTGAAACAGGCACTTATAAGTAGCAGTGGAAGCAATGAATGGCACAAATAGTTGGAAGTAGTTTGACTTTGAAAAATCTAAAAAAAAAAAAAAAAAAGCCCTGACTGGTGTAGCTCAGTGAATTGAGTGTGGGCTGGGAACCAAAGTGTCGCAGGTTCAATTCCCAGTCAGGCCACATGCCTGGGTTGCAGGCATGACCCCCAGCAACCGCACATTGATGTTTCTCTCTCTCTCTTTCTCCCTCCCTTCCCTCTCTAAAGATAAATGAATGAAGTCTTTAAAAAAAATCTATTCAGGGATTTCTATATAAAATGTTTATTGCCAGGCTATTTACAGTAGCAAAAAAATAGAAAAAGTCTAAATATCCAATAGTAGGAGATATGGTATATTCATAACTGGACATACCGATTTCCAGTTCCTTACAGTTTTCAGTGTCGTGGTTTAAGTATACGTCTGTTTGCCTTGTGTTTTACTTTCTTAAAATGAAAAGTATAAAGAAAATTAAGATTGCATGTTTGATGTAACTGGTCCCTGTTCCAAAAAGTTATCTTTAAAATAAAGTAGAAATGAATTCTTGTAATTTAAAGGCAGCAGGAATCATATAACTCATGTAATTCAGCCTCCCAACATTATAATATGCACAGCTTTCGGCTTAAATACCTCCAGCATTGAGGAGCTCTCTTTCTGTTAAGGTAACCTCTGCACTTTTTCGGGTGGTTGTAATTGTTTTACATTGGTACCACTGTCAGTTTTCTCCTATTTACATTTTTAAAGGTCACCAAGGAAGAAGGATTGGCTTTGGCCCGAGAATTTAGCTGTCCCTTTTTTGAGACATCTGCTGCATACCGTTACTACATTGATGATGTATTCCATGCCCTTGTCCGGGAGATACGTAGGAAAGAAAAGGAGGCGGTACTGGCCATGGAGAAAAAATCTAAACCCAAAAACAGTGTATGGAAGAGGCTAAAATCACCATTCCGGAAGAAGAAAGATTCAGTAACTTGAAGGGGTGAAGTGTTTATGTGTGAACTGCAGTGCTCAAACAAAGCAGCCCGCTGAAAGTAACTGATGGAGGGGACATGCCTACTAGGAGCTTTCAATGACGTGGTATTTAATATATTGTCTTTTAGCTAATTCTGATTTATTAACCTAGTAGAGCACTGTCTGCTTTTAAATTGTCATATTAGAATTTGATTTATCATAGTTTGGGGTTCTTTTGCTATTAATTACTGTAAATTGTTTGTATCCAGGGGAATATATATACCATATGTGTTTGACTAAGCTCACAAGAAGGATTTTTTTGCCATATACTGTTACACATTATCTTTCAACTTCAGTTTCCTGGGATTATTCCAGAGAAGGACCTCTGTCTTTTCTGTTCACCTTAATGCTTCCTAGAGACAGAACAAAAAATCATATAGGGAAGGCAGTGCTAAAGAGATCAGTGCTACAGTTCAGAAAAGAGCTGTGGGACTGACTCCTGTTGCCAGTTACGCAGTGATGAGATTTGGGGAAATCAGGTCGTGTGTTTTGGTTAGGAAAAAAGAGAGTCAGAACAGTATTCACAGTATGGGCCTGGCTTTTCTAAGAAATGTACTGGGATGGGTGAGAACAAACGGAAGCATGTAAGATGTAGTGAAGAGTTCTCCTATGATGTTCTTTCACTCTTTCTTTCGGAGTTTCCTTACCTTCAAAGGTAATGCTTTGGGAACCGTTACTGCATCACTAAACTCAATCCAAATCCTTAGTTGGAACAGCCAATGCCTTGTCCAGGTTTATTGCTTTACCCGTAGATACACTCACCAATATATTTACATTAATTGTTTCCTGGGGCTTTTCCTTAGTTCCCTGTGCTCTTTAGAAGAGCTCAGCCTGGCAAAATGTTTTCAGGCCATTCATCAGACTGACTGCATTTTCCATACAGAACAGACTTCAGTTTGAGTAAAATTGTATATGTGCCTCCTTTTTTTTATTTTTTTAATATTTTATTTTATTTTATTGATTATACTATTACAGTTGTTCCATTTTCCCCCTTTCATTCCCCTCCACCCTGCACACCCCCTACCACCCACATTTTCCCACTTTAGTTCATGTCCATGTGTCATAAGTTCTTTAGCTTCTACATTTCCCATACTATTCTTGCCCTCCCCCTGTCTATTTTCTACCTACCATCTATGCTACTTATTCTCTGTAGTTTTTCACCCTCTCTCCTCCTTCCACTCCCTTGTTGCTAACCCTTCATGTGATCTCCATTTCTGTGGGTCTGTTCCTGTTCTAGTTGATTGCTTAGTTTGTTTTTGTTTTTGCTTTAGATGTGGTTGTTAGTAATTGTGAGTTTGCTGTCATTTTACTGTACATGTTAGATAAGTCGCTTTAACATTTCATAGTAATAAGGGCTTGGTGATGATGAACTCCTTTAACTTGTTCTTATCTGAGAAGCGCTTTATCTGCCCTTCCATTCTAAATGAAAGCTTTGCTGGATAGAGCAATCTTGGATGTATGTCCGTGCCTTTCATGACTTGGAATACTTCTTTCCAGCCCTTTCTCGTCTGTAAGGTCTCTTTTGAGAAATCAGCTGACAATCTGATGGGGTCACAACCCAGCAACTAGGCTGACCCACCCTGGTGAACACCTAAGGCTCTGCCCCTCAAACATAACAGGTGACAAGATGAAAAAAAAAATGGACCAAACAGAAGAACAGATCAAAGCCCCATAGCCAGTACTTTTAAGTGACTAAGAGATAGCCAGCCTATCAGATGCACAGTTCAAAGCACTGGTGATCAGGATGCTCACAGAATTGGTTGATTTTGGTCACAAATTAGATGAAAAAATGAAGGCTACACTAAGTGAAATGAAGGAAAATGCACAGGGAACCAATAGTGATGGGAAGAAAACTGGGACTGAAATCAATGGACTGAACTGGACTAGAAGGAAGAAAGAAACAACCAAACAGAAAAGAATGAAACAAGAATTCAAAAAAATGAGGAGAGGCTTAGGAACCTCCAGGACATCTTTAAACGTTCTAACATCTGAACTACAGGGGTACCAGAAGGGGAAGAGGAAGAGCAACAAGTGGAAAAGTTATTTGAACAAATCATAAAGGAGAACTTCCCCAATCTGGCAAAGGAAAGAGATTTCCAGGAAGTCCAGGAAGCTCAGAGAGTCCCAAAGAAGTTGGACCCAAGGAGGAACACACCAAGGCACAGCATAATTACATTACCCAAGATTAAAATGAAGGAGAGAATTCTAGAAGCAGCAAGAGATAAGGGGACAGTCACCTACAAAGGAGTTTCCATCAGACTGTCAGCTGATTTCTCAAAAGAGTATACGTGCCTCCTTGACATTGACAATCATGAGACTCAATATTCTAAGAAAGCCTGTGGTATTTCTGTTTAGTGAGCCAGCCAGAAGCTTTAAAATGCCCAGGCGATGAATTTCTCATTGGAGATTTCTTTACTTACAAGGATCTCACTAAGTTCACCTCAGGGTGTCTGAGTCTTGACAAAGCTTAGCTTAAGAGAATACCACTTTGATAATCTGCATAATTGAGAAACTATTGTCCTGGGAAGAAACAGCTTTAAATATCAGTGGTTGGTTCTCTCATTTAGAATCAGGATTATTTTAATATCTGAACTGGTTATGTGTGGAGATTTAAGTGCAAAGGTGCTAAGAGTAATATAGCATATATTGAACATTCCATGTCACTGAAGCAGTGTTCTTGTCCACTTCGAACTCTTTAAGAACAGGATTTTGTGTAGTGCCTCTTAAAAAGCACACAACTTCACTTACTGTGTCCATTTTTAATACAGGCAGAAGTACAGGGTTTCTGTGTGTTTCCTTATACTCAACACTCTACGTTTTAAGTTTAAAGAAAAATGATGGTTGTAACTTTTTTAGCTTAGTGGTTCCTTTTGAAATTCTTGGAAATGTTTTTGCTACCAAATAAGTCATGTTTTATGGTATTCAAGCCATTCAAAAGTAAAAGACCCAGAATTTAAATGTTGCAGGACAATCTTATGGGAACAGAATGGTTCATGGAGAAGCATGAAGGTAGAAAATACAGTGCAATTCAGTTTTAACAGTATTTTACCACATTCAAACTAACCTATAGCCTTTTAAGTTTAATGCTGTTGCTGTCATTACTAATGACCCAGGGAGCTGTTACTAGCATCAAGCAAGAAGTTAACAGCTATGTACTTACTTGGGATAGACAAGGTAGCAGAGAACATTGCCAGAAAGATAGATCTGTAAGACAGGAGGGAATTTGTATTGTATACAAGAAAAATTAGGAAGTAGTGTTTTTAAGACTATCATATCGGGGCTCTTCCTTTTGGGAGCACGCCCAAGCCTTTCTTCTTTCTCAGGTGTGCATCTCCTAAACCCTAAGGATCCCCATGAAACTTGTACCCAGGGAAGCAATGGGCAGCAGAATCTTGTCTGGGGTTAGGCCTCCATTTCTCTGACTTTCAATAAGCCAATAGTAGCCCCTCTTGGCTCACTTCTGTCACTGTGACTTTTACTTCCCAGTGAGCTAACAGCAGGCCCATCCTGGCTCACTTCTTTACTTTAATGTCTCTAGGGAGCCATAGCAGCCTCACCTAGTCTCTCCTGTTGCTTTTTCCTAGGCCCTTCCTTGTTTCACTGTCCCCAGCCTTAAACATACCCTCAAAATTAAAAAAAAAAAGACTATGACTGTCATATATTTGATTTTTGGATTAGACTATCAATTAGTACTGAGAATTCTCTTCATGGTGCTAAATAGTGTGAGGTATATAATATGTATAAGTCATATCTCTTAGTGATCATACAGTGTATGTAATTTATAAGCTCTAAGTAGTCAGCTTTATCACATTTGTGGGCATTAAAATCAATTACTGCCTGAAACGTTGAAGAGAGGAAAATTCAGGGACAAGTTGAAAAGCACTGGAACTATTCATGTCCATACCAGATTGGTAAATTACAAAATTTAGAAGCTAGTATCTAGATTTATCTGTTTAGAATTCAGAAGGATAAGAGTGGCTCAGAAAGGGATATGTATTTTAACTTCATTGATATATTAGCAAGAACTGGTCTGTTGTGATGTTTGGGGAGGAGAAAGGGGAGACATTGTTCACTTACGCCCTTGTGTATGAAGACAGTTTGTATGACACAATACAAAACTTGTAAACAACTTGTGGGCTTTTTCTTTACTTACCTATGTGTGGGGAGAAATGTTTGGAATCATTGCAAAGGTCTTTTTAAGAAAAAAATGTAATGCCATGTGATTTCATATTGTGGAAAAGACTGATTCAAAAAAACCTGTAATGTTCACCATGAACACAACAACTGTGACAAGTGCTAGGGAGCATGCCGTGAAGTGCTCCCTCATTCAGATGACCTCTTAGGTGGGGAGATGGGAAAAACACAGTGAAAACGATAGCATCTTTGCCACCTGATCAAGGGTTAAATTTGCTTCAAGTGAGTATACTAAATGTGAGAGCACAAGAATAAATTTTTATGTGAAGGTCATTGCTTTTATCTCCACTTCTCTAAATGGGCATCACTGTTGGTAGAGAGACTTAGTTTGGACATTAAAGGAATTTATTTTCATGTCTCTTCATTATTTAATATTTAGTGAGTGTCACTAAAGGGTCAGTAACTGTCAATGTAGTTCACTATTGAGACAGGCAACAAAGGCATGGAATTCCATTCTCCAATGTCAGGTTTGTTGAGAAAGGCAATGGAATTATAGTCAAAGTGTATATGAGCCTTTTCTGTGCACTGAGCACTGTTTAAGAGCTGTAAAGGATTCAAAAGAACATAAAATAATTGCTTTTGAACTTTCATAAAATTTGCAAGTATAAAACAACCAGAGATCAATGGTAAAGTACTGCAGCATGTTATGTGCTCCAAACTGAGAATATTACAGGAATTCAGAGAAGGAATTAGCATGGCCGGGCCTATCAGAGGAGCTGACCCTTTAAGAAGAGACAAATAGAGCCCTGGCTGGTGTGGCTCAGTGGATTGAGCACCAGTTCAATCCCTGGTTGAAGCACATGCCTGGTTTGCTGGCCAGGTCCCTTGAGAGTGTGTGAGGGGCAGCCCATCAATGTTTCTCTCCCTCCCACCACCTTTCTCTAAAAATAAATTTTAAAGTCTTAAAAAAAGAAGAGGCAAATTAAGGAGAAACTGAATTTAACCTGAATATAATAACGAGGTAAGATCAAAGAGATGTAACTTACAAAGTTTCTCATGCTTAGTCGTTATTATTTTCTTAAAAGATTTTTTCTTAACTATAAATTCCGTAAGCTCCTAACAAATAATTGGAAAAGTTTCATCTTTTCCAAACTATCTTAAGAATGATGAGACAGTCCTTGCTAAGTTTGACAAACACTTGGCTTTTAAAGATAGCCGAATACTGAAAATGTTGGATTTATAGTAATCCTGGATTTTCTCAGCTTCAAATTAAAATTTACTTCCAAATTATCCCACTTTTCATCAGTTTAGCTGGAACTGAAACTTAGTTCTGTACAAGTTCTCTGACTAAAGAAATTATTCACCTATCCTCAAA